CCTTTCCTGACTTCCATTGCTTTAATGCCTTGGGCCCCCTGCTGGATGTCTGATTTCCCCCTCCCTGCCCCAGCATTCAAACGGCCCCTGCTAGAGTGTCTGATTCTCCCTCACTCTCCCCAACCTGCCCCCAGCATTCAAAGGGTCCCTGGTGGAGGGTTTGGTCCCCAGTCTCCCTACATCACTTCCCCACGCTGCCCCCCTCCAAGCTTAATTCAAAGACCCCTGCTGGAGTGCCTGACTTCCGCTCCCCTCCTCCCCCCAGCACTCAAGCAGCCCCTCCGTTTCTGCTTCCAGGGGGTTCTGACAACCATCTGATCCTTGTGGATCTGCGCTCCAAAGGCACAGATGGTGGGAGGGCAGAGAAGGTGCTAGAAGCCTGTTCCATTGCCTGCAACAAGAACACCTGCCCAGGTAAGGCTCCCCGTGGGGCTGCTTTTCCAACTTCTCTCCTGTCTGCTTTCCTCATGGTCAGGGTTGTAGCTGCCATTTGGCAACTGCCATGAGCTCTGAGACCGGGCTCTCGTCACAGTAGGGCACCGCGGGGTTAAACCTTGGCTCTCTGCCAGCACACCACACCCTGGGGAGCAGAAAGGGAGTGATGGGGAGCCAGGTGCCTCTGGCTGATGCATCTCAGACCTTGACATGCTTACCTGAGCTTCTGCAGCAGGGGCCGTGTCCCATGTCACAGAAGCTCCTTTGTACACTACTGAAGTCTTACCCAGAATGATTCTGCCATCTAGTGCCTTGGGCACTCAGGTTTTTACAGTCTTTTTTTTTTTTTAAGATTTATTTATTTATTGGAAAGTCAGATATACAGAGAGGAGGAGAGACAGAGAGGAAGATCTTCCGTCCGATGAGCACAATGGCCGCTGCTATGCCGATCCGAAAGCAGGATCTAGAAACTTCTTCCAGGTCTCCCACGCGGGTGCAGGGTCCCAAGGCTTTGGGCCATCTTCAACTGCTTTCCCAGGCCACAAGCAGGGAGCTAGAAGGGAAGTGGAGCTGCCGGGATTAGAACCGGCTCCCATATGGGATCGTGGCGCGTTCAAGGCGAGGACTTTAGCCGCTAGGCCACGCCGCCAGTCCCTGATTTTTACATCCTTGAAGGCTTATCTATTTATTGGGAAGGTAGAATTAGGGGCAGAGGTCTTCTGTTTGCTGGATCACTCCCCCCAAATGGGTGTCAACAGCTAGGACTGGGCCAGGCCCTAGCCAGGAGCCTGGAGCTTCATCCAGGTCTCCCATGTGGGAGCAAGGGCCCCGAGCACTTGGGTCATCTGCTGCCGCTTTTCTAAATTCATTGGCAGGGAGCTGGATTTGAACTAGGGCAGTCAGGAGTCATATGGGATGCCAGTGGCTTAACCAGCTACATACACCACAGCACCAGCCCCTGTCTTTTTAAAAAATTTATTATTATTATTTATTGGTAAGTCAGATATACAGAAAGGAAGATCTTCCATCCGATGATTCACTCCCCAAGTGGCTGCAATGGCCAGGGCTGAGCCGATCCAAAACCAGGAACCAGGAGCTTCTTCCGGGTTTCGCACGTGGGTGCAGGGTCCCAAGGCTCTGGGCCGTCCTTGATTGCTTTCCCAGGCCACAAGCAGGGAGCTGGATGGGAAGTGGAGCTGCCAGGATTAGAACTGGCACCCATATGGGATCCTGGCACTTTCAAGACGAGGGATTTAGCCACTAGGCCACCTCGCCAGGCCCTCTCTTTCATTTTTAAATCAATTGTACCTTTCCTGTTACATTGAGTCAATATGCTCAGGCCTAGGGTTTTGTTTGTTTGTTTGTTTTTTGTTTTGTTTTGTTTTGTCTTTTTGTTTGCCCAGGTCCCTTTTTAAATGCATAGCAGTAGCAGTGGGTTGTATCGCAGTGTGCTGCGCTAGAGTTTCAACTGTTCCACTTCCGGTCCTGCTAAAGCATCCTGGGTGGTAACAGATGATGATGGTTCAGGCTCTTGGGCCCCTGACACCCGTAGGGGAGATCCAGATGAGAATTCCAGGTTCCTGGCTTTGCTCTGGGGTCCCCCTCTGGGTCCCACTCTGGCTGCTGCAGGCACTTGACCAGTGAACCAGCAGGTGGAAGATCTCGCTGTCATTTAAGTGTAACCAAAAGGTAGCCTAGCAGCTAAAGTCCTTGCCTTGCCTGCGCCAGGATCCCATATGGACACCAGTTCTCCCGGTCAGCCCTGCTTCCCATCCAGCTCCCCCTTCCTGTGGCCTGGGAAAGCAGTCAAGGACGGCCCAAAGCCTTGGGACCCTGCACCTGCATGGAGACCCAGAAGAAGCTCCTGGCTCCTAGCTTCAGATTGGCTCAGCTCTGGCCATTGTGGTTATCTGGGGAGTGAACCAGCAGAAGGAAGATCTCTCTGTCTTTCCTCCTCTCTGTATATCTGTCTTTCCAATAAATGTGAGTTGACTGTATTTATTTCTAAAAAACAAAAGAAAGTAACAACAACAAAAAAGACAGTAGGCCGTGTGTGATCTAGGCAGCTTTGTTAGTCTCGTTTTGATAGTATTTATTTGCAAGGCTGAGTTACAGAGGAGAGACAGAAAATCTTTGGTTCCTTCACTGGTTCCCCGTACAAGTGGCTGCAATGGCCAGGGCTGGGTCAGGAGCCCAGACCACAGTCTCCCATGTGGGTGGACACTGCGTTCTGGGTGCATCCACAAGGAGCTCCCAAGTGGAGCAGCCAGGCCACTGCGATGCAAGCCTCATAGGTGGTGGCTTAACGTGCTGTTCGCCACAATGCCAGCCCATCTGATTTTTTTCAAATTGATTTATAATTTTTTCCGTCTCGAAGGAGATAAAAGTGCACTGCGGCCCAGTGGCCTGAGACTGGGGACCCCAGCATTGACGTCGCGAGGACTTTTGGAAAAAGACTTCCAGCAAGTCGCACACTTCATTCACAGAGGTGAGGATGAGGCTTTGCGGGCTCGGGTGGGGAAGCGCGGCGGCGGCACAGCAGTGTGTATGCACGGCATGGCTGGCGGAGATGCCCGCCGCGCCAGGGCATTGCCGTGTCCAGCACAACTGCTCCCCAGCCTGTCCAACCCCAGAGCTGATGACCTCCAGGGCGTGTCGGGCGGAGGGTCGCAGGCCCAGAATGAACCCCAGTATCCTGTGCGCAGGCATTGAGCTGACCGTGCAGATCCAGGACGCTGTGGGCCCGAAGGCCACTCTGAAGGAGTTCAAGGAGAAGCTGGCTGGGGATGAGAAGCACCAGAGGGCGGTGCGGGCGCTGCGGGAGGAAGTCGAGAGCTTTGCGTCCCTTTTCCCTCTGCCCGGTGTGCCTGGCTTCTGAAGGTGCCAGCCTGCTCCCCGCCTGGCAGTGCTACCAACGGGGAGGACCCAAGTGTAGCTTCTGTGCTCTAGGGGATAGGGGAGGAGTTGCCATGGACTTGCATCAGGTCCCCGATTGGTCAAGAGATCTGCCCGGAACATCGTGTGCTCAACAGTGTCTTGTGCTCACAGGAAAACAAGCCAACATGGAGTCCTTTGGCTTAATGAGTGCAGGGGTGCGGGCCACAGCCACTAGAGGCTGGCACCGCCAGCAGCCAGTGAGAACCCAGGCTCACAGCTTGGGATGTTAGGGAGAACAAGGTTCAGCCCTTTACAGGTGAGTCAGGACAGTCTTCCTAACCAGGTCAGTCGGAGGCTGGGTGTCCCAGGCCTCAGGTGTCTGCCTGCTGGGAAGCACCCTGGGGTGACATCTAAGAGAACCAGCTCTGCTCCCACACGTCCCCCTGCCAACAGGAAGTCACGCGTCACCTCCCAAAGAGACTTTATTTTTCTCTTAGCTCAAGTGCAAAACATAGCTCACTGTGTTTAGTTAGCACAACCAAATTCATAACCACAGAATGTCTACAAGAATTATAGCTTTAGAAAATACAACTAATTTTTAAATATTTCCAAAAAATATCTTAACTCAAATAAATTAATTCCTGGAAAAGTACACTTCTCATACTATTATTGGTTTGGTGTTTAACTCTGGTTAAACTCCTTTGCAGCCACACTTTTAACAGGAGGCAGGTGCTGGTCACCAGTGGGCTGCACTGGCTGGCCTCGCTTCCACCAGATGGACATGCAGTAATAAAATAGCTTCTTCACAAACAACAGGTAGGAGTTTATCATGGACTGTTTGCCATGGCAGCCGGGTCATTTCTCAGTCTGACCTGTGACTCTGGCAGGCCTTGCAGATGGTGCCCCCTGCCGCCCTGGGGCCCAGCCTGCTGTGGCTTCCAGCACCGTGTGACACGGCCTTGTCCCTGCTCTTTGCCTCTGCCTTGCATGCTGCTGTGGCCACCAGAGCAGTCCTGAATTGGGGGCCCAGCACCCACTCCCCCTACGCCGCTGCACTGTGTTCCTGCCTCTGTCCCGGCACATTAACCACAACCTTGGTAAGGCAGGCCCAGGCTAGGTCTGCACCCAGATGTGGCCAGCTGTGACTGGGTTTGCCTTTTAGGCATGAGGGGGGAGCTGAGCTCATCTGCTCCCTGAAGCCTGTCCGTGCTAGATCTCTCAGAAAATTTCCATTTTCTTTCACTCCCAGCACTCGGCAGAGCCAGAAAGCTGCCTGCTGGTTTGTTTGCAAGCACAAAGGAGCCAGTCTCCCAAGTTCTTTGGGCAGGTGGGCTCACTTCCTCACGCCCACTGCCATGCAGTTGACAGTGGGCATTCTGGGGGACATGGGAGTGGCCCTCCTGGGAGTTGGAACTGAGCCCTGTACTGGTCTGCCACGGGTGATGATGGCAGGCTTTGGGATGGGTTTTTCTTAAGCCAGCGGGTGGGGTCTCACCCTGACAGGGAGGATTCATCCAGCAAGGTGCCATGGGCAGTTCAGACTGCCACCTGCCTTTGTGGCAGCTGCTGTGAGCCCAATGAGACCGACAAGATGGGCTGGAGGTCAAGGCTGGGGCATACCAGCAGCGGGTGGGAAGCCACTGTGTGCTGCAGACAGTGGTGGTTCAGCAGAGCATGCTGGGTGAGGAATCCCTGACATGAGGGGACTGGGACCCTGCCAACTCCAGGTCAGACACGCGAGACTCTGGCTACAGGGGAGCCATGCAGAGGGACAGGGTTGCCCAGAGGCCCCCACACCTTGAAGAGCCCTTTGGAAGGAAAGATTTTGGCATCTGTGGAATCCTGACACCGTGGTCCAGGTCTAGGTCCTTTCTGGTGCTGGCCAGCAGTTGGCGAGGTTACCTGCACTGTGAGGTGCCCTCTTGGCCACATCTGGCTGGCTCCCTTCCCCCGTCTCCTGCCTGCTCAGGCCCTTTGCAGTAGCACACAGATGACTCCGGGGTGTGTGTGTCGGGGAAGGGGGGGCGACTCCTCAGTGCCACTACGGTGCTGGCCTTTGGCTTCCAGGAGGCCACATCTGCCTGTCTGGCCAGCAGCTGCCCGAGGCTCTTCCAAGGGACAGCAGTACCCACCTGCCCTGCTTCCACAGCGGCCAATGCCCACCTTCCACTTGTCGTGGGAGGACCCACGCAGTCACCCTCCCTTTCCTCTGAGACAAAGGTCACCAGAGCACATGGCAATCAGTTGCCCAGCTGGAAGACGAGGCAGCGTGGAACACACAAGGCAGGTGGGGCATGGCAACAGATGGTGGCGAAGGGGAAGGAAGCAGATAGCTTGGAGCGTTTCACATTAGCAGCCGCCAAGGGCTCCCGGCAGCCTGTCGGTCTGAACAGCTGCCCTGCGTCACCTCAGCAGGGAAGCTAGAACAGTGGCATCTAGGCAGGCTGTTGCCACGGGCCATGCCAGCTGCCCCGCAGAGCCGTGTGTCACCTCAGAACCGCAAGCAGCACAGCAGTGGCATCAGGGCAGGCCATCTCCAGAGGCTGTGCCAGCTGCTCCACAAAGCTGTGGGTCACCTTAGAAAAGGAATCAGTAGCACAACAGTGGCATCTGGGCAGGGTACCTCTGGAGGCCATGCTGGCCCCAACTAAGATGGTGAAGTATGGGGGGCGGGGGCGAGAGGGTGTCTCCTTCCTGATCCCAAACGCCCTCCAAAGCAGGGGGAGTGGAGGCACACCCACAGGGACCCTCGACTCAGTAGCTTCTCCAGGACATCCCGGTCTGGGCTCTTGCCACCGGGCTGAGTGCTGGACCATCACCATGCCAGTCCGGGAGAGGTAGCGAAGTGGTTGTGAAGGTTTAGCTGTCGGAGAAGCGGGGTCCATTCTATCTGCCGCATCCCCGGCTCCCAGACCAGAAGGCCTTTCTCTTCACTCGCTGGGCCTTTGCTGCCCGCCTCCTGTGTGAACCCGGAACCCACCAGGGAGAGTGACTTTAGAGAGCCTGGGAAGAAGTCAGGCTGGGCCTGGTGTGGGGAGGGGGCAGAGGGGTGATGGACCGTTGGGGCTATCGTGTGGCCATGGACGATCTGCATGGGGTATGGGATGTCCTGCCTGTTTTTCACTGCCTCCCTGGCTGGTTTTGTCACAGCATCCTCTAAGGGTTGGATGTGACCAGCATGCTCCAGCCATCTGGCTTTGGCTCCCCCTACCCCAGGGGGCTGTCAGTTCTGGAAAGGCCAAGTTCCAACCACCCCTGTCCCCATGCCAGGGGCCACCTCCTGCCCAGGAGCCCAGAGCAGCTACCACGGTCCTCCCAGGTGTTTCAGAGGCAGCTACACCCCCGCCTCTGCCCCAGTCCCACATGCCACACCAGCCAACCAAGGACGACACCAGCAGGCGGGATCGTTCAGTTCGGGCCAGTCCTCGAATCCCCTCCCCAGTTACAGAGGCCTGGTCAGCTGGGTGCCTTCTCAGATTTTGTACAGGAAACTGGGGACGTAGTCGGACCTGAGCCTGGGGGGGCTGTTCCCGGGGCACTCCTGCAGGTAGTGCAGCCGCAGCAGCTCGGCCAGGTACTGGACCACCCTGACGTCTTCATTCACCAGGCCCAGGTTCAGCCTCAGGAAGTTGGCCCGGCGGCTGGCAACCAGCTCCTCTGTCTCTTGGTCGTGGGCGGGCAAGTGCAGGTGGTGGCAGAAGGTGTAGAGGAAGGCCTTGGCACAGAGCTGCGTGAGCACGCTCTGGACGTGCAGGGCGTAGGTGCTGCCCCGCTTGATCTGCGTGCGGTGGTCAGCTAGGCGGGGCACCAGGGCACCTCTGTAGAGTGGGCAGCGCAGGGTTTTATTGTCCAGGTCCAGGATGCTTGTGTAACGGCTGTAGCGGCTCAGGGCGTGCAAGGTCCCAGCACCGGCAGGAGAGGCCAGCCTGCAACACATGGGTGAAGCTCAGGAGGCTGGGAGGCTCTGTCCCCAGGACTGCTCCCCCACCCCCAAATCCACCGGAAACCTGGGAGGCAAACACAATTCACTGGCTTCTCCAAGGGGCTCCTCGCCCCTGCTCATCAGCAAGACCCACTGCAATGAACTGGCCATAGGGCCCTCCCTCCCCACTAGATGCCAGCTAGCCGGGCCTGGCAGTTCACCCATGGTTGCCCACAATGGGCTCTTGGCTGAGAGCTCCTCCCCAGGGGTCCTCAGTGTCCCACCTGCTGGAAGCTACCCTACAGCACCGCAGTGTGGCCCCACCTGCTCGCCCCCCTGCACCAGGCTGCTGTGAACCTCAGCCGGTCTTCCTGCTGTACCCCGGGGCCAGCTCCCTAGCCTCGCTGGGCCTCCCCTCTGACTGGAGAACAGCCATTCCAACCACAGAACTCCCTAGGCATGGGCTGTGTGGAGACGAGACAGCTATGCTCCAGCTGCACCTGCTCCCAGCAGAGTCGGCCAAACACTGGCCCAGGTGATGACTGGCTGTCCGCCTCTCCCACAGCATGAGGGGCATCGAAAGCTCAGGTCTTGTTTGTTCTCATGTCCCCTCTGCCTTGATCTGCCACCTGGCACATCTGGCACAGGCCAGAAGGGAAGACCGTCCTGCCACTCGGCCTCTGGAGGCTCCGCTGCTCTGGGGTGGACACTTGTGGCAAGTTGATTAGCCTGCCCCTTGAGCTACCCACAATTCTAGGGGAGTGCCTGGCCTTCAGGGCCCGCCTCTGCCGGAATCTGGAGGACAGCGGGTGATGGCCCAAGTGCCTGGGCCCCTGCCACCGTGTGGCAAGACCCCAACGCTGTTCCTAGTCATTGCGGGGACACCTGTTTAGAAAGCAGAGGTGGGACTTGAACCCAAGCAGCGACTCAACCCCATCCCACCCAGCCTGAGTGCTGCTACTTCCGACAACCCCTTCACTCCTGTGTCCCAGACGGCCTCTTGGGATGCCAGGGGCGAGACCAGCTCCATGTCTCTACTCTCACTGCAATGGCAGCCACTGGTGTGTGCTGAACATCATCCAGCTAGTCGGCAGTCAGGCCAGGACTTGACCCTCGCCTTCTGACCCACCCTGGCCCTCTCCCTGCCAGCACACAGCGCGGGGTCTGTTACAGCCACTTGGCAATAGAATTATCTCTGATGTTGCTAACAATTCTGAAAACCAACCAGACGACCCAGCTGCACGTCTGGGCAGCACTGGCAGTCTGAAGGAGGAGTCCTTGAGATAGTTAGTCACGGGGGCTGCTTATTTGTACTTTTCTTTGGGAGATGGTCCAAGGACTGAGGGGCCAGCCCATGGGAGGTATATCCCCGGCCCGACCACCAGCAGTCCACCCAGAGCCCCCCGCAGAGCCAGCGGTCTGGCACATCCTGTCAGCCATGCCCACCGTTCCAGAGGTGTTCGAGCAGGTGAACCAACAGGCTCTGGAGGTCAGCCCAACAGACTAGCGGCTCCCTGACGGCCTTACCACCTCGCCCAGGCTGGCTGTGGCAAGCCTATTCCCACACCACCCTTTCACAGCCGATTCCCCAGGGATGTCTCCCCTGGGGCGCACAGATGCTCCCGACACCCCACATATGGAAGGAGAAACATTGGGGTAAGAGGGTCTGTGTAGACTTCAGCCGTCCTCTCCAAAGGCCTCTGATGGAGCACCAGCCATGCGGGCCAATGCATGTGTGTCCTCCCAGGCTGCCTGGGGCATAGTGACAGAGCAGGGCCAGACACGGTGCTGGGCAGCGTCTGGCACTCAGGCAGCTTGCATAAGTATTTGGCAAAGGCCCATGTGGCAATCCAAGCCTCTTGTTTTCCTAGATGGAGGAGTGATTTGCCTGGTGCCCACTGGCAGCGAGCCGTGGCAAAGCAGTCCCAGGGCTCACAGCACCCCACTCCCCCGCTCAGCCCAAACCCAGGCCCACAGGCCAGCATCCCTAGCCCTGCCCCTCACCCGGCAACCTGAGCCAGGCTCGCCTGTCATTGCAGAAAGAACAACCACTGGGTCCAATGGACAACAAGGGGCAGGTGGCATTGGTCCAGAGAGGCCCAGGGCCCTGGCAAGATGAAACCCTGGGAGTGGGCCCCGGCCACCTCCCCAGCCTAGTACCCTCAAGGTGAAACCTGTCTGTCGGTATGATGGAGGAGCTTGGCAACTCCTCTGTTGGGACACAGTCCCTGCAGATGAGCACAAGAACCAAGACAGGGAGCAGCCAAGACCAGGCCAGGGAACGGTACCTATCAACATGCATTTGGCTCAAGTCTGGGTGAGCCAGGCTAAGCCAGTTCGTATCACCCACTGGCAAATCTGAGAGCCAGAATGGTGTGTAGGTCAGGCCGGGTCAGACCACAATACTAAGTGGTTTACATTAGGGCCGGGACTTGGGGCTGCCTAGTTTGGGCTGGGCTAGGTTGTGGCCCCCACGACCAGTATGAGCCAGAATTGGGGGGTGGGGCCAGGTCAGGCCAGGCACCCACTGGCAAATGCCAAGGTGAGGCATCCCAGAATGAGCCACAACACCCAACTAACACACATGAGACCCAGCGGAGGTGGAGGGGAGTGAACACAATAGAGGGGCTGCAAGGGCCTCCCCTGCTGGACCGTTACTCCCACTGGTGAGTGCAGGTCTGCAACCAGGCTGGGTTGACTATTCCTACTGGCATAAGCACAAGCTAGAGTGGGTATGCGTTGGCTGGCAGATGCTGGCACTAGGTGCTAATTCTGTTAAGCTAAACTGCAGAACTATCCAGAGAGTCTAAGAACCGGGAGTGGGAACGGGCCCAGGAGGGAAACAGTGGGCACCTCTCTCTTGGGTTGCCACTTCGTCTGGTGAGCATGAGAACCAGGACTGGGGCAGGCCATGGCTAGACAGAGAGTGGCACCTGCTGACAAGTGTGGGCTAGAGTGGGGCTGGTTGGGCTGAACTAGGCTTCAAGGCCCACTGACATGTAAGAGAGCTGAATGGGATATGGGACAGATTGGACAAGTCGGCTGTACACACTGGCTAGCATGGGAACCGGGGCAGGGGGCGGACCTAGTGGGGGTTATCACGGGTCCCCCCAACTAAGCTGCAGCTCCCACTGGTTGGTTTGCGTGGCCAAGTGTGTGGTGGGCAGGACAGGGCTGGGCAGCAACACCCATTGGTTTGCATAGAGGACAAGGCTGGAGACAGAAGTGACCCAGTAATTGCAACTAACAGTGTACGCATAGGCTGATTGGGATGACAGACCATGGTGGACACTGTATTGGCAAGCACACACAAGAATCCAGTCTGGGATCACCTCAGATGAGGTTTCTTTGGGGATCCCCCAACTGAACCGCTGGACTCAGAACTCCAACCGTGGAGAAAATTGCAGGTTCCATGGTTTGACCATGAAGTGCAAATGTCAGAGCTGGGCCTCCTCAGTGCCTTGGATTTAACAGTGGACAGCAAATCCAGATGCACAGGGAGGATATGACGGTACATTAGAACCTGCAGAGGACACCTGGTACCATAACAAAAGATGCAGGACAGAACAAATTAATCATCTACCCCAGCCGGGTGTTGACAGTGAAAATCTGGGCAAATAGAGACTCTAAGGTGGACTATGTCAGCCAGTGGATTCTGCAGCAACTTCATCGTGCTTGGAGTGGCAAGATCGGCAGCGATTCAGAACTGCTGAACTATCAAAACCACTTGAGCAAGACCCTTGGAACATGCCCCACATCGGGGACCTGGGATGGGTGGGAGGCTGGGGTGGCTTCTCCCCTTATCTCTCCCCTTCCCCCAGATATAGGGTGGAAAAAAAGAGAATGTGAAAACAATGGTCTTACCCAGTTTCCTCTAGTCCTTGTCCCTTTGTACCCTAATCAACTATGTAAAGATCATCAAAAATAAAATAATAATAAAGTACAAAGAAAGAAACCTGTTACTTGCAGTGTGTCACCACACTGGCTGTCTGTGAACACAGGGGTATCCAGCAGTCAGCAATCCTGTCCCCCCACAGAGGCAGGCTCGGGTCACCTGTCTTGGAGTAGCTCAGGGGCTGCCACCTGGCACCCAGCAAGGCCGGGATGGTTCCTCAGGTCAGCATGTGGAGATACGCCTGGCCAAGCTGCTCCCCGCAACACCGCCACCTCACGTCTTTATGGCTGTACCTTGAGGTGGTAAAGCCGTGGGGCAGCTGCAGTGCTTTGAGCTCCCTGGGACAGCCTGGCATGGCCAGAGGCACAGACACCAGTAGACTGAGATGATGGCATCACTGATGCCAGGAGCCCACGCAAGGCCCTGCTCCCACGGCAGCGGGCTGCAGGAGCAGAGTGTAGACGGAAAGGCAGGCTGATGAGGTACAGAGAAGGGAAGTGACTTGCCAAGGGTCCAAAAGGAAGTCACAGAGGAAATGGAGCAGGGACAGAGCGAAGGGGCAGGGCTCCGGCCGGAATCGCCCAGTATGACTGGGACAGACGTGGTTTGCTAGACACAAGCCAGGGAGGGAGGGCAGGCACTCTGCCCTGTTAAGACAAGCAGGACAAACCACTGGGGGCTGGGCCATCACCCGCAAGGCTGGTGTCCTAGATGAACAAGAGTTCAAGTCCTGGCTGCCCTGCTTGTGATCCAGCGCTCTGCTAAGATGCCTGGGAAAGCAGCAGCAACAGCCCCGGACGGAGTTCAGCCTGGCATTGCAGCTCTCTGCCATCTGGACTCCCTGGCATCCCTAACCCCACCCATCACCATTACAGCGTTTTCCCTGAAGCAGATCTCACCTCTGCCAAGGACACCATGGTGTTCACTGGACAGTGAGCGAGGACCTGAGGTCTTGGAGTCTAGCCGTGCCCACATTCCCCGTGCCACACCCCCATACTGACCTGGTCAAGATATCTGGGATGGGCTTATGAGTTAGTGACCACGAAAAATCCACTCTCCACCCAAAAATAATTCTGACCCCAAGGAGACAGACTTTGGTTGCCAACTCCTTAGGAACTGCGACCTCCACCCAGAATAAAGGGACTGCAAGTCAGGGAAGGGGGGGGGGGGGTTATGGGTTTGCAGCAGAGCTTGACTAGAATTGGGGGTCTCCCAGTCCAAAGGCCACAGCAACTGGTCTCATTCCCTAACCTGTGGGGCCCTCCCCTGCACCCGGGTACCTCTGCAAGCCAATGAGCTTCCACTTCTGAAAATCTGTGATGTGCAGAGGTGGGGCGACCCAGTGCTTCACGGGCTTGGCGTGGCGGCTGTAGTTGGGGACGAAGATGGACAGCGCGGTCACCAACTTCCTGACAATGGCCTCGTCCTCCCCGAGGACCACCAGCGTCCTCCCGCTGAGCAGGGAGTAGATGGCCGGGTGGGCAAAGGGGTACTGGCGGATGAACTTTAAGGCATTCTGACCAGCCTTCTTTTTATGCCTCTCGGAAGACGGGCCAGGGGGCTGAGCAGAGGTGGGGGTCCTGTCAGAGCTGGTGGAGGCAATGCTGCCCACGTAGCTGTGGGTGTCCGAGCAGCTGTCCAGGCTGTTCTTACTGGTATCCCGGCTGGCCAGCAGGTGGTTTGGGTCCAACTCGTACACAGGAAACCCTTCAGAGCTGTTGTCTCGGAGGGATGGGCTGGCGTTCTCCGTGGCCAGGTCCATGTGGCACGCCTGCTCCATGTGCCGCAGTGGCTGCGGGCAGACGCTCACCACCCCGTCCTCGTCAGAGAGCGAGTGAGCCACAGCAGGGAGGGGCGGCAGCTGAGCGCTGCTCTCCTTGCCGATACAGCAAGATGCATCTATGTGTGATGGGGTCTGGTCCAAACCGCGCCTCACACCCTCCTCGTCATCCTCCTCCCCAGCCTCAGCCAGCTCTGACGGGCTGGGGCCAGCCTGGAAGTGGATGGCTCCCTCGCTGTCCGCACAGGTTTCTTCCTCATTAATGGCACTTGGGTAGCTGGCCTTGAAGTCATCTGGGATGAGGGCCTCCGAGGGGCAGGTGCCCAGCACCTCGATGCTGTCCTCGCTAATGGTCCGGTGGCTGACGGCTTTGCTGCGGACCACCTGGGGGCTCAGCGGCACCGTGAGGCTGGCCTGGCTGTCGGACTTGGAGAGCAGGCAGGCGGACCTCTCGGTGCCCAGCACCTCGATGCTCTCCCCGCTGCTAATGCTACCCTTCATGTCCATGTCCAGGTAGTCCAGGTGCTCCTGCCGGTCGAAGCTGCCCGATTCCGGCGCCTCGGCCTCCTTGTCCTCCTCATCTCCTAGGTCCTGTTCCATCCTGATGGGCACTGCCTCCACGCTAGACTTGTAAGAGCTGGCGCTGACCAATACTTGGGGCACGCGGCATTCTTCCGGAGCCCGGGCAGGTGGTCGGTCTTGGCTGGTCTGAGAGGGCAGGCTCTCCTGCTTTTCCAGCACCTTGTCAGAAACCTCCACCAGGTCCTCGAAGAGGAAGCTGGTCACGTGCTGTTGCCGGAGAAGTGCTCTGTCGATCTGGCTGGTCAGCAGGTAACACAGGTCGCCCCGGAACATGTGCTCGATGTGGCTGAGCTGAGCCAGGGTCTGGGTGAAGTACTCGGTGTCACACAGCTCCTCCAGCGTCTTCAGCTTCTTGTCAAAACACTTGGTGGACTTGGCCTTGATGAGCTTCGGGGTGTAGGCGGGTCTACAGGCATAGAGTTCCGGGTCGGCCGCCGGCTGGGTGTCAGCATCCGCATCGACGTGGGTGTGAGGAGCAGCGGTGGCGTGCTGCTCGGCCTCATCCTGGCCGCGTTCCGTCTCACCCGGAGCGCTCGCCCCGGTCCCCTTCAGCTTGCGGTGAGGGTAGGAGCGGATCTGCCGCAGCAGGTCCTGATGCTCGATGATGGACTTCTCCACGCTGGCCAGCTCATTGGCCTTCTCGATGGCCTGAGACGAGTAAAAGCCTCTGTCGTTGGCCTTCTTCTGGATCTCCGTCTCCGTGTGCAGCACCGTGCGAGTGTAATCCAGGTCCCTCAGCTTCTTCTCGAGCTCCGTGGCAAAGGCCTTCCTGTTGCCCGTCTTCAGGCACTCGGAGGCTCTGGAAAATTCGGCGGACAGCTCCTGGAACTGCTGCATGATCTTGTGCTGGTCGGCAGAGATGTAAGCCATGCAGAAGGGCCTCACGAAGCCGCGGGCCTCCAGGTCGTACAGGGTGAGGTGATGCACGTAGGCGAAGGCTCCCTCTTTGGAGTCCCCCAGCACCACCTTGGAGTCCTCCACGAAGTTGAGCTTGGGGTAGGCGGAGCCCGGAGGGTGGCCCACGAAGGAAGCCTGGTAGTCCACAGACATGATGCGCAGCGAGAAGTAATTAAGGTCGAAAGTGCCAAAGACCCTGGCGTCATTGGGGATGGTCAGCAAGGGCTGGGGGCCCACCTGTTCCGAGAACTCGGAAATCAGGATGAAGTCCCTCGAGAACTTGGCCCCGGACAGCTTGGACCAGGGATGGGCTTCCTGGCTGGCAAAGGGATACAGCGGCACGGAGTACTCCTCGGGCAGGGCCGGCTCATGGTAAGGCTCTTCCTCGTACCCGTCCTCTTTGGTGTAGGCCACCACGTCAGGGGCGCTGATCATATTTTCCAATGGATGGGGAGCACATGGAGAGGGTTAAAACGACACGCCGAAGCCAAAGCCTCTGGAGGCTCCTGGAAGGTTAGGAGGGCCACAGCTCCCTCAGAGGGCCCCTCGGAGGTGCGGCTGCCCCGGAGGAACACCCTCCCAGGACCAGGGAGGCCGGCCGCCCGCCTCCTCCGCCGAGCGCAAGGCACCTGCAGTGAGGTCACGCGCACTCCTCCTCCGAAGCCGGCCCCCTCGGCCCTCGCCCCGGGGCGGAACGAGTGCCTAACGCGGGCTCCGGGCCGCAGCGGGGACAAGGCAGGCGTCGTGGCCCCCGACGCTCCGAGCGCAGAAACCGCCGCGGTTCTCCCGACGCGCTGCAACCCACGGACATCTACCGCGGCGCCGCCATCTTGGCGTCACATGACCCGCAGCGGAAGGAGCGGCGCGGCTTGGGGGACGTCCCGGCGCGCGGGGCCTTCTGGGAGTTGTAGTTCGCGCTCGCTGTGGGGACGGAAGTGGCCCGGGAAGGCGGGCGGAAGCGGCCACGGCGACGTGCGGGATCTAGGTAGAAGCGGCGGCCCGGAGGAGGGTGACGCTGCCGGGCAGCGGGGGCGACTGAGCGGAGAGCTCCCGGACGTGTCCCGGGAGCCCCGCACTTTCCTGACGGGGGACGCCGGGCGGGCGGCCGCCGCCCCCCGCTCCTCCGGCATGCGCGGGCTCCGGCTGTGGCGCTGCGCGTGCGGGGCCTGAGGGAATGTTCTTCCCGGTCGCCCGCTGCGCGCTGCGATTGCTGCAAAGGCGGCCCGGGCACCGTGCCCTGTCCCGCGCCGCCATGGAGGTGGCCTTCCGAGGCGTGCGCAAAGTCCTGTGTGTGGCGGAGAAGAACGACGCGGCCAAGGGCATCGCCGACCTGCTGTCCAGCGGTCGGATGCGCAGGGTAAGAAGGCAGGTTGGCACTGCGTCCCGTGGGGTGGCAAGGAGCCCAGGGGCATTAGCAGGACGCTGGACCCGTAACCGGCCTCGTGCAATAGGAGGCGACGTGGCACACGGGGGCAGCTACGCGGGGAGGATGCTTCGCGATGCTCAAGGGGGCTGTGTGTGAAAGCACCTGCTTGCATTGGTGTCCCTGGGCTTAGGCCAGGAGCCAGGAGCTGCTTCAGGTCCCCTACGCGGATGCAGGGGTCCGAGCTCCCTTGCCTTCCCACGTACATGAGCCAGGGCTGGATGGGAAGTGAAGCAGCCGGGACTTGAATTGGTGCCCATATGGGATCCCTGTGCGTGGAAGGCAAGGATTTAGCCATCATGTCAGGCCCCTGTGAACACTTCACACGTGCCAGCTTGTGTTTGGAGTCTGGGTCTGAGTTCCTGGCGGCAGATCCACAGGAGCGGAGTGATGGCTCTGGGGGGACTTTATCACCTTCGTCCAAGGTGGTGTGGGGCCGGGGTCTCCATCTGCACTTTCCTGAGCGTCTCTTGTGCCTGTGGGCACGTTGTCTCTTCTCTGGAGAAATGCTGGTGCTGCCTCCCACCCAGTCTTCCACCCATCCCAGGTCCCGGATGTGGGGCATGCTCCGAGATCCTTGCTCAAGTGGTCCCGGTAGTTCACCAGTTATGCATTGCTGCCAATTTCGCCACTCGAGGCACGATGAGGCTGTTGAATAATCTACTGATTGACATAATCCATCGTAGAGTCGTCCTTTGTCCGGTGTTTCGCTGCCAACATATAGCTGTGGTGGTTTACTGACCTGTTCTATCTTCCGTCCCCTCTTGGTTAAGGTTCTAAGTCTGCCATTTCGGTTGAGGGGGTCCCCAAAGAAATTTGAGGTGTTCCCAGACCAGAGTCCTATGCGTACTAGCAAGTACAGGACCTGGCATAGTCCGTCTCCCCGTTCAGCTGGTGGTTGCAGTTGCTGGGTTGGTTCCGTCTTGAGCCTCAACTTCCACTGAATCAATGGGTGTCGCAGTCCGTCCTGGTTCTGCTCATCACGTACTCAGCCATCACACCAACCAGTGGGAGCTGCAGCCCAGTGAGAGCAACCCCCAATACCCCCCACCAGGCCCGCTCCCTACCCTGATTCACCAGCATGTGTAACGGACTAGTTCAGTCTGCCCCATATCCCATTGGGCTCTCGTAAATGTCAAAGGGTATTGGAGCCTAGTTCCATCCAACCAGCTCAACTGTCCAGCCCTCACGGGTGTTGTTGAGTGCCTCTCTGTCTAGCCAACCCAGCCCCTGTCCTAGTTGTTATTGTGCCCTCCCATGGGAGTATTAACCCAAGAGTGGGGGGCCCACTACTTGCCTCCCAGGTCGCTCTCTCCGTTGGGCTCTCTCCAGGCGGCCCTGTGGTTGAACTTGACAGTAATGGCCCCTAGTGCCAGCTTCTGCTACGGCTAAGCCCTGACAGCTCTCACGCCCTCCAGTTTTGTTGACACTAGTAGGAATAGTCCACCCGTCCTGGCTTTTCCCTGATCTGGTCCATATGAGGTGTATGGGTACTGCCGCCCTGCCTAGTCTGGTCCCAGCTCATGCTCTCCAATGGGAGTAGCTATCCAGCACGGGAACCACCCCTTATTCCCCTATCAGCTCTGTCCCTCCCTTCCTGATTCTCATGTATGTTAGTTGGGTGCTGCATTCTCATCTGGCCTAGGCAGCCTCACCTTGGTATTTTGTGTTGTATCCTGTTTTTGTCGCAACTGAACCTGGCTCGACCCACACTCTGCTCTGGCATTCGGGTTTGCCAGTGGACGACGCAAACTGACTCAGCCTGGTCCGCCCCCAACCCATGCCAAATGTATGCCAGTGTGCACTTTTTCTGGGCTGTTTCCTTCCGTGCTTCTTGTGCTTATTTGTAGGATCCGTGTCCTGTCAGAGGAGTTGCCCAGGCTCCTCCCTCAGAACCCCTCCTGATGCCAGGTTTCGCGCATACCAGTGGGTCCGTGGGCCAGCACCACCCAGTTCATCTCCTGTCCTAGTAGGAGCAACGGCTTTTCCTAACTGGCCTTCAACCCTTTCCGGCTCTTGCTGCTGGATGTTTCAGCCCAGCCACGGCTCATCCATACCCACACATAGCACATACATGGCTCAGTAGGGGTTGAAACCCAGCCTAGTCCGTCCCACATCTACCCTGGTCCTCCACAACACCAGAAGGTGTTGCAGTCTAACCCGGCCCGGTGCGCCAATTCCCAATCCACACTTGTGCCAAGGGAAGCTACATCTGTGTCCTGACCAGAACGCAGCCCCATTCCAGCGTGTGCGTCCCTTGGTGGGAACCTCCACCCAGCCAGGGTCTCCCCGAGCTCCCCAACTGGGCCTGATCACAGCTAGTGTTAAGCATGCCACTGGTTGCTCTGGCTCAGCTCAGCACGTTGCCTGTCGCGATCCCTGCCCTGCTGCTTTTGCGTTGAGTTTTCTGTCTGATGTGAGGTCAGATGGCAGCTGTGTTCTGCTGTGTGTGTGTGTGTCTGTGTGTGTGTGTGTGTGTAGTTGACGCAGCAGTATTGAAAACTTGGTAAACTCAGTTGAGGTTAGCTGTTGGAGTTTACTCTTGGTCTCTCCCAATACACTGTTTTCACCTCTCACTGATGCAATGGCTGTAGCTTTCTGCTAACTTTTTACACTCTTGTAAATGTCTCTCGCTTGGTTCTTCTTTGAGATCCTTTTGCCGGGCCTGGCACAGTAACCTAGTGGCTAATGTCCTCACCTTGCATGCACCAGGATCCCATATGGGCGCCAGTTCAGATCCCGGTTGCTCTACTTCCCATCCAGCTCCCTGCCTGTGGCCTGGGAAAGCAGTCGAGGACGGCCCAAAGCTGTGGGACCCTGCACCCACGTGGGAGACCCAGAGGAAGCTCCTGGCTCCTGGCTTCAGATTGGCTCAGCTCACTTGGGCAGTGAACCCATGGAAGGAAGATCTTCCTCTCTATCTCTCCTTCTCTCAGTATATCTGTCTTTTCAATAAAAATAAATAAATGTCTTAAGAAGAAGAATTCTTTTGGCTATTTGGGGCTCCTAGCAATTGCAGGTGAATTTTAGGATCTCCGTTTCCGTTTCTGAAAAGCAGGGGTTGGACCATGACTGCATAGAGTCTTTGTCGCTTTGGGGAGTGTGGCCATCTTAACACTGTCGCATCCTCAAGTCCTCTGGTCCAGCCCGGCATGTCTTCTACTTTCTCTCATCTTTAAATTTCTTCCGCAGTGTGTTGTAGTTTTCGTTGTGTATATATTGTATTTTCTTGGTAAAACTTATTCCTAAATATGTTACTTGGGCTGTTATTGTAAGCAGAATTATTATTTTTTTAATTCCTCTGAAGTAGTTAATGGCTAGTTTGTGGAAAAACTGGTTCTTGTGTGTCGTTCTTGTATCCAGCCAGTTTGCTGGATTTGTTTATTTGTACTAAGAATTTTTCAGTTTGTTTTTTTTCATAGGATTTTTTTTTAAAGATTTATTTTGGGCCCGGTGCGGTGGCGCAGTGGTTAAGGTCCTCGCCTTGCACACCCGGGATCCCATATGGGTGCCAGTTCTAATCCTGGCAGCCCCGCTTCCCTTCCAGCTCCCTGCCTGTGGCCCGGGAAAACAGTCAAGGACGGCCCAAAGCCTTGGAACCCTGCACCCTCGTGGGAGACCTGGAAGAGGCTCCTGGCTTCAGATCGTCATAGCATCGGCTGTTGCAGCCACTTGGGGAGTGAATCATCGGATGGAAGGTCTTCCTCTCTGTCTCTCCTCTCTGTATATCCGCCTTTCCAATAAAATAAATCTTTTTTTTAAAGATTTATTTTTATTATTTTTCAGGTCTCCCACACGGGTGCAGGGTCCCAAAGCCTTGGGCCGTCTTCGACTGCTTTCCCGGGCCACAAGCAGGGAGCTGACTAGAAAGTGGAACCGCTGGGATTAGAACCAGTGCCCATATGGGATCCCAGCATTCTCAAGGCCAGGACTTGAGCCACTGGGCCACTGCACTGGGCCCCAAAATGAACATTTTAAAAGAAAAGTTTTGTGCTATTTATTTGGAAGGCAGAGTTACAGAGAGAAGAAAGAGGTTTTTCTTCCGCTGCTTCCCTCACCAAAAGCCACAGCAGCTCAGACTGGGCCAGGCCGAAGCCAGGAGCTCCTTCCCGGTCTGCTGTGTGGGTACAGGGACCCTTGTACTCAGGCCATATTGAACTGCTTTCCCGGGCTGACCAGCAGGGAGCTGGATGGCAAGTCGGGCGGCCAGGGCTGCAGAAGGGATGCCAGCGTGCCAGCCTAATCTGCCGCACCACGGCACTGGCCCCGCAGGACCCTGTTTGCGTTGTTCCCAATCTCATGGGAAATAATTCCTTTGTATCCTTAGTTTATTGAGCTTTTATTGTGAAAGGATAGGATTTTGGTCAGATACTTTTTTCCTTCTT